GGCGCCAAGCCAAAGTGAGTACGGGGGGAGGCAGCCGCCCTTAATCTGAGGCGGCAGTAAACACTGCTGTGGCGAGGCTGGAACTGGTCTGAATCGGTTTTAAAAGAAACGATTCGTCTATGTTACAGTCTATATATACAGGAAAGTTATTTATTATGTTCTAGACTAACAGTGCGGGGATATGGGTTACCGAGTAACAAAACGTAGCCCTGTGTAAACATTTTAATTAGGTTCTCAAACAGTGTAAAGGTGGTCACAGCAACTTCCTTGTACACTGTAGCAAATGATCCATCTTCGATAAAATTGCAGTTTTGGCTTCTGTCCAGTGGAGAGCAAATTAAATGGCCCATTAAGCACTCAAATACTATGATAGCTAATAGAGTCAAGAACAGACTGATTCATGTTCTTTTTTATTTTTTAATGGAATGACTTTATTAAAGTACCCAATAGTGGAAATTTCTTCTAGAGGAAGTTCAGCTGGGGTTGGTCTAAGTGCTGAGGATCCCTGTACCTCAGGGACTCAGAGATGTCTCACATTTAAACAGAATTAATGATGTATAACATCAAATTTTCCAGTAACTGCTGCCAATGTTGCTTTAGAATCACGTAAGTGGGTATGCCTTGTAAAACTGAACTACAATTTCTAAGGAAAAAGAAAAAAAAATAGTAGTAGGTCCATCCTGTGAATCCAACTGAATCATTATTTGGGATATCCTAGGCTAAATTAGTTTCATAGTAAAGCTGTTCTTCCTTTTCAGCTGTGCTTGGTACAAAGCTCCCTGTCAGAAAGAGCCACGAAAGTCCTATGCCTCAGGCTGCACAATTGCTGATACCTTGTATTTCCTCCAGGTCTCACCTCTAATCCACATAAAACCACTTCAGGCTTGAGTGAAAACAATTGCCATGAAGAGCACCTCTTAGGAAAGGGAGAAAAAAAAAGAACCAACCGCAATAAATAAATAAACATAAAAGCCTCAGTAGCCCCATCTACAATGCCTTAAAACCAGATGATGCCAGCAAAGAGTGTAAAATAGCTGTATGTCCTTATTTCTTTTACCCATCTTGCTCTAATCAGTCTTCCAGGCAGCATATGAGCACAATCTGGCAATTAGCAAGTAAAGCAGAAAATGGACACACAGTGTCACCTAGTGGCCTCAGGAAATTACTGTTCTCATCACCTGATTCAAGTAAAAAACAGTATCGCACCCCGCTTTTCTTAAGGTCTTTTTAAAATGCTGTTTATGAAATGAATATGAACCAGTCTTCAGACTCAAAACAATGTAAATGACAATTTTATTGAAGATTTCATACTTAGCAGGATTGTTAAGAAAGCAGAATATTTTACACCTCAAATAGAGCTAATTCTCATAAGAATACAGTACAAATAAGAGCTAGTATAAAAGTACATCCTCCTTGCACAATTCATATTCCATTATTCAAAAAATAAATGTAGTCAAGTTTTAAAATGTACTAAGCTCCCATACTAGGAATCAGAGTGTCACTGTTCATATGGTTTTATCCCAAATATTTTGCTATTTCACAGCCCCAAGGAAACCATTTCTGGCAGCTTGGTGCAAGTAGGATTTCATAATTGTCAAAAGGCCTTAAAAATTTTCTGCAGTTTTAAATGAATCAAGGATGAAATTTACTAAAAAAAGAAAGAAAAAAACACTTAAATGCATATGAAATTCAAAAGTAATGCCCTGCAGGCTCCTGCAAAAGTATTGATTTGTCTTCAGAGAGTCCTGTCAGTCAGCACAGCCTCTGGGTAAGCACTAAAATACATATACTCCAGCAATGGGCACACCATTCCAGTTGTACATAGAAAAGAGTAGAAAGTCTTCCACTGATCATAGGCAATTTTGAGATTAAAAAGAAAAAATATATATCATGTTGCACTCAGTTTAAGATGCTTTAGCTGTTGGATTCTAAGCACAAACGTAAGGTTTTCATTATGAAAAAAAAATCCCAGCTGTGCCCTTTACATGTATTAAAGTGCATTCAGTTACCATTTTTAAAGCAGGCCAGAAAGTCCCTTTGAAATTGGTCCCTAAGCACTGCAGTAGCATTTGTAGTGGTAAAAGTTGCGTATTACAGAGAGCCTGTTTCACATCACCCTTGTGAGCACAGTAAAATTCTGTAAATTGTTAGTGGAATAAATACTAAGCTCAAAAGGGATAAGACAGTTCTGTTCTCATGCTGTGGATGGAGAATACCTGTTGAACACAGCAACAGGCCCTCAAATACCATGCACCTAGATGTTCTCTTCACAGGCTTCCACAGTATTTTTGTGTTCAAGGTAATGTGCACACACGAATGATTCCCTTACACATCAATGTGCAGTACAGCATCACTTTCACAGAGGACAGCTGCTTATTAAAGCTAAAAATACCGATTTAAAAGGCCCAGCACCGTGCAGCAAGTCTTCCAGTAGAAGTCCAATTCATTCTTCATCATCTTCCTCATAGTTACGATTCCTTTTGATCTGCTCTTCCACAGAGAGATCTTCCATATCTTCACCCTCCCAGAAACCAACGTCTTGGGACTTACGATTCTGGTCAGGAGATGATTCATTAGCAATCTTAATGTTGGCTAAGCTGGAATGTTTAGGAGAATTTGGCTCAAGAAATTCTTCACTTAGTGTTTGCTGCTCTTCTGCAGCATGTTCTTCCTCATCCGTCTCTACACTCACCTGGCCATTTTCTACCAAGTTATGCTCTACTGCTCTGCTATCCAACAATTCCTGCTCTTCCTCTGCATTTTTCTTTTCAGCATTCTGGACATTCCTATTCTCAACCTTCTTTTCTTTCTGCTTTTTGTCTGTCACAACCTCTCTCTCCAGTTCCTTGCCTCTTCTCAAGCTGTCTCTCTCTGCCTTAGGAGGAGATAAATTCTCTGTTTTATGGCCTTTAACAGACGTTGTTCTAAAGGAGGCAGCTACTGTGAAGGGCCGACTTCTTTCCTTCAGTGAGGAAGATCTTCGTAACTTTTTGAGATCCAGGTCCACATCGTCCTGCACATCTGGCTTAGAAAGCTCTTCTTCTGGGGGCCATTTGGGTTTTAAAACTTTGATGCCTTCATCTAAGGCACTTCCTTGAATACTTTGGTCAGATGGAGGCGGCCAGGCAATCCTGAGCTTCTTCGTTTCTGCTGGTCTCTCTTCTCTTTCAGGCAAAGCTGAAGCTTTGGCTTCCATGCTTGCTGCCAGAACTCCTACTTTTGCAATTGGGGCATCCTCTACCCCAGGACTTGGAGGATTTTCTGCTGCATTTGCAACACTGGCAGTTTTCTCCAAGGATTCTTCACCTTCAGTTTTGCTTGCCCACAATTCCTTATGCTGTTTGTGTCCAAAGCCTTCATCATAGTTACCTTTAGCCTTGAAGAGCTGATTGAAGTGCGGCTTGCAGTAAATGTTGCCACGCAGAGATGCGTATGTACCAAGACTGGTCGGAAAGATAGCAATATTAACATTCGATTTAATACCAGCCACCAAGCACGGTCCATTCTAGTTTTGCTACTGAAGAGATTCAATTTCAGTCTTGCAGCAGATTTAGAAAAGACAAACATTGCAGCAGTCCCAGCTTCCACAACCAGTTACGATTGTCTTTTTAAAATTTCAGGAGTTGTCTACAATTTTATTTCCCCCCCACACACATGAAATGCCATTAAGAATTAAAATTGACTGCACCAGCCACAAAGGCTAGTGGCAGAACGAGGGCCCTAATACCATTCCTTTGCTCCCATTCAATCCACAGGATTAGTCACCTTTGCCAAGCTTGGACAGCATCTTATTCAACTTCTGGGAAAAGGATAGCCAAACTTCCCAAAAGGCAGCCAAATGCAGCCCTGTGTTTACCTGAGTTTACTGTTGCAATAGGAACAGCGGAAGCAGCTGATGTGAAACACCTGCTGGTTGGCAAACAGCCTCTCCATTGGGTACACAGTCTTCTGGCACCCAACGCAGATTTCCTTCGCTGGCAACTGAAACTTCTAAGGGAAGAGGAGAAAGCAAGTTAACTGGACAATGAATTAACTCTTACAAGACTTCACTTGGGTTCAAACTGAGCTTCTTGAGTTCTTAGAAACAAGATTTCACTTTCAACAGCTTACTGCTAGTTGCGGTATAGAGTGCTGGGAGGCAACAAGCAAAGAAAAGGCTATGGCTGGCCCACAGGATTGTCTCAGGAAGAATAGGAGTGGAACAGGCTGCTCAAGAGTTTAAAACAAACCAATTTTGCTAAATGGTCTCCTAAAGAGGGGGAAATCATCTCAGCACAGATGGAGGCAGCAGGAAATTCATAAGCAATTCCAATAGCAAAGTAACTATATTCAGGTTTTAGGACGAATTTACTCCAGACTTAATGTTAGCAGAGTTTTGACATTAAGCAGCTAGAACTCATTATCTGCTCACAAAGAGAATTTCCTGAGAGTTTAGTGTAAGAGTAAGCTTAAACGCTAAGGAGTCAAGTGTCACTACTGGGCTGTACGGGAATAGGTTCAAGTTTTGTTTTCTGACAGCAACAAGGAAGCAAGTACTCTCTGTCCAATAGAAAAGGTCACTTGATGCTGTTCACTGCTTGGAACCTATTAAGGTTGGCCAGTAGGAAACGTACCTTAAAATCAGAGTAAAACTGAATAACAGGAAGATGAAAATTGGTGGGTTTGGACTGCACACTGATTGCAACCACTGTGGCAACAGAGTAAAAGAGTGCCAGGCTCCACATCCATGGATGTGCAGAGGCACATTGATATTGTAGCTTGCTTATTTATTTTTGGACAAAGAATGAACTACAAGCTTACTAAAAGGCTTTGAGGAAAAGTATGATGGTTAAAGAAAAAACAGGAAGGTCACAGGAAGACAAATAACTATAGCAATTTATTTATAACAAACTAGAAACAATGGTTAGGCAATGAAAGTTACAGTATGTGTGGGACTGATTGCGGAAGACGGAGCCAGCAGAAATCACTTTGTCACAACCATGAAGTTTGCTGCAAATTTAATTCCAGTTTAACAGGTTCCTATCCATTTAAGTTTAAGGCTCTGTTTCAAGTTATACTGAAGTTCAAATTATGATGACAGCTTGACCAACAAAAGCTTGCAACCTCAGCGTTCAGAGGTCCTTTTGGAAAACAAACTAATAAAAGAAATGCCCTCTGGGTGTTGCCAGAACTGAATACGAATTCTCCATGCTGAGTTGCTATATGCAATCTCAAACACGAGGCAACTCACTGATTCAAACAAAAATGTAAGCATCCACACTTGCCACAGAGAGCAAGGCAGTAGCAATTTGCTCAAAAACATGACTTTTTGTGAGAGCTGAGTTTTACAAGAATACATTATTGTGCTGGCATGTGCTTCTGCAATGCATGTCCCTATCTGAGAGGAGGAACTTACTTGTATAACAATGAGCCCTGTGTCTGATGGAGAGGTGTTTTGGGGTGTGAAGAGAAAGAAATTCCTTTCCAGGCCTACTACAAATAGGAGCTACAGGAGGAAGGTGAGGCCCAGTTAATACAGAAAACTTGACAGAAAGCTGAGAGTTGAGCTCACATTAGGAGGGAAGCAGAAGGCAGGAGTAGAGATTAGGAACCAAGAACAGGAAACAGAAGCTGGAAGAGACAAATAGGAATCTTGCATGAATAAAACAGCATCTAGATTTCTATCTGAGCAGTGCAGCATCAACAGCAGTAACAAGGCAAAGCACTAAAATGGTTCTAATACTACAATCCGATTGCACAGGGGACTAAATCACATAGCTTGTGTGTACCTTGTATGCTTTAACAGATTGAAATAATAGAAAAGCTACAGACAGCTCTAATTTCACATAGTGGCATTTACACTCCAGAACACTAGGAAGCCACATCTCGCTCGTCTTGGCGAGGGCAGCGCGGTTCCTTTCAAAGATGGGGAAACAACAAAAGCACAGTTGTTTCCTCAGGAGCGAGCCAGGAAGTCTGTGGCAGCACAGGGAGCAGGCATCCTAACTCCAGACGGCACACGTGACAAGCAAGTACAGCGTGATCAAAATACTCTGCACTGCAGTTTGAGTGCTTAATAAGATTAGCAAATACATTCTTATCCAAGACGTTCTCTACCTGCTTTATGCTTTAGAGCTCCTGCTAAAGAAAAAAGACGTGCTATTCACAATGCCAAACTCAAATTCTGAGGAGTCCCACACTAAACTGCCCTCACTGTAAAGTTCCTACCAATTGCAGTTGTTTGGGGAAGAGCTGGAAAAGGAGGGTGGCGTGCCAGGTCCTGGCTGCTGAGAGCACTGAAATTCAGGTCCCTCAGTGCCCATCTGCAAGAACTTTCTAAAAACTTGACTGTAGGCCCAGTTGAGCCCTAGTAGGATCTGCATCCTGGCTTCCCTGCTCAACCCCTTTTCCCCATACTGCAGACAAGCAGCTTGCCACTGCCACAGGGACACGCTGTTCTGAGTGGCAGGGGAACCCCTAGCAAGCACCTCACACTTCATCCTTGAAGGAAAGCTGACAGTTTTGAGATATTTTTTCATTCTGAATTTAAGTTTCCTGATGAACACAGTCTGATGAAGACTAATCACATACTGATATAGTCACTGCCAGATTTCTGGCAAACACATTGATTGTATGAAGGCTTTTCAGTAAGAGTGAAGAAAGCTGATTTTAACCATTGCTAATGCTTAAGAATAAATGTCTGCTTTACCTTCATTGGCTTTGGCAGAGATGCATCCATCTGGCCAAGTGGTTTGGAACCAAAGTTTTGCTGTTTTGTGTTCACAGGTTTCTGAACCTCTGTGTCGATTTCTAAGTTGAGCCCAACTAAAGGAGAAGAACAGGAAGAAAAGAATAACTGCAGTGATTTAAAAACCATTAAGATCTTATTCTGGTAAGGCTGAACTGCAATCCTACTTATCAGACTATTGACTGATACACTATTTGCTATAGCCGTTAGTTTAAGCCCAAATGGTGAGGAAGCTACATTAAATATGTTAAATCAGAGCAAATAAGAGTTACAGCCATCTCAGAATTACAATTATAAACCAATTTCTAAACCTGCCAGAAATAATTGAGCTGGAGTTTAGCACAGGACTAGTTTTCAGTTTCAGTCAGAAGGCAGTTTTACTGTGTGGTAAGAGGGACCTCATGCATCATATGCACAAAGGGCAGAGTTTAATATTTTCCTCAGCCACGCAGTCTGTTGTTACTGAGGCAGGAGAACAGATACTCACTGTTGCCATCCTCAGAAAGATCCGAGTGGAAATGCAGGCTGTTCTCCCCTCCAGGAGCCTGCAAGAAAATACTATACAATGAGCACCTTTGATCTTCACAAGTCCAAATAATGATGGTTTAAGTAACACGACAGGCAATTTGATGGAGTTAGGCACTAAAGAGGAAGAGATGGGCCACGCTGAGGTGCACATGAGGCTGCTTGTGGTTCTGGAGGCAAAAGGCAGAGTCCAGGTGACTGCCAAGAACATTCAGTCTCTGCCACAAGTAGACATCCTCCCAGCTTCACACCTTGTCAGAATTCAGACCATCCCTTGTAGTCATCACACAAACATCATGATTTTGTGTTCCAGACACCAGCACACCTTTTAAGTCAGGTCTAAACCAGCTGCAGATACTAAGTGTGTTACAGGCAAAGCTCTTAATGTTGATTTCTTAAACATGGCCATATTGCTATTAAATACAGCTAGAAGAAGTGACACTGAGAAACTAAAGTGCTGTAAAAAGATTAGCCACAGTCACTAATTTACTTTAATGATTGAAAGGTTCATTGTAAACAACCAAAGTTTGCAAATCAAAGGAGTAACGAAGAAGCAAGTCATAGAAAATAACATACTTTGTTCTATTGAACAGCTTTATCACTAGCATGCTCTGCGTCTGCAAGAATCACAAGTGCCTGGCTGCCAAATCTTTCATAAGTTAGTGTGGAAGTGACAAAGAAAGCTAGCAAGTTTTTTTTTTCCCTCCAGAGATTCTCTCTCTCTTTTTTTTTTTTTCCCCGCTTACTACTAATAGATTTATTAGACCTAATATCAAAGTTGATCATGTAATTTTAAAAATGACAACTATTACTGTCAAATACTGGTCTGTTCAGGCTCTTGACCATGCTTGGACTCCTCAACAGGATGCAACACAGTAAGAATTTCAATAAAGTCGGTTGAATAAAATTTCCTGTATTCAGCAGTAATTGTCATATCTGCCATTCAGCAACAGGGAACCATTCTTATTTAACAGGTGTTCTTTTAATTAACTCACCTTTTAGCAAAAAGCAGCCTCTACCAATTAAACACGAAGCTGCTCAGCTGTCAGTGAGGAACAGCTGAAAGCTCCAATTTGGCCCTCTGCCCAAAGAGAGCTGGAAAGCTCTAAAAGCCTCCTGGCATTAGGTTGCCACGTGTTCAGAATGGCTGGAATACACAGTAGCCCAATTATTATTCAGCTACTCTTATCCCTTGTGCTAACCCCAATTTAGTATACAAACATCTGAGCATGCTTTAATATCCCTGTATTCGCGGAGTAATTTAGTCTCATTTACAGCTGGAGCTCAAAACCAGGAACAAACCCAAACTGGCATTCTCAGTTACATTAATCAAAATTTTGTCACTAAATTGAGGAAAAAAGTGACCCACTTCCTTTACTTGTGTCACACAAAGTTTTTCATATGTATATTTTTAAAAGATCAATCAAATAACCAATTCCGAATCATTATTTTAGAAGTAGGGAACATGACAAAAAAAGTTTAGGTGGCTTTCCCAAAGTCATCAATATTAATGGCAGAGATTAGAAGAAAAAACAAAAAAAAAACAAGCAAGCAAACAACCCCAAACCACCATCTTCAAAGGCTTTGGTTCTAATCAGCTACTGAAGCCATTGAATAACACATCAGCCCGATATTCAAGGTTTCTGCCACGCCAGAGGTATGTTATTACTGAGAAGATGGGGAATGCTCTAAAAAAACAAACAAACAAACAAAAAGCCTCTTAATAATTTCTCTCTACTCTCTGCATCGTAACTGCTTAAAAGTCTTCCAGTGAGACCTGCAGAGGTTGTAGTTCAGATACAGTCTAAAAATAGAGAAATTTTGCAGTACATAAATGACTTCTCAGCTGGTAATGTTGAATTTCTACACAGTATGTGGAACAAGCATCTCGTCTCTGCCTCTCCAGCTAGTTCCACTTAAAGGGAAGTCCTTGATCTCCACCAGTATGAGCATCTTACCTTCTCCCCATCCTGACAGAAAATGGAGTCCTCAAGACTTGCTGCCATATTCTCCTTCTGCTCAGATTTGTAATTCTTGAGTTCACTTTCACTGGCTTGAATCTCATTCTATAGAATAAAGCACTTGAAAGTTGACAAGCTCTTTTCCCCTAGGAAAGTACTTGCTTTCCATTTCTCTTCAGTCCTTTAAAAACTGTTTTCCTAACAAATAGCATCATAACTAGAGAGAAAGGCATAAAAAGCTACATATACTTTGTAAGTGATAATGAGGAAGAAAGATAAGACTATATAAAATTTTGTTCTGTTCTATGGATATAATGCCTTTTTTCTCCCTTCTCACTCCACATGTCCCCTTTCCAGAACAGGTAACCTTTCATTTGAAATTACAAGTATTTCAGCACAAACACTGTGTAAAGCACTGTAACTGTTAAATACAATTCAACATAAAAGCAAGTTCTACCCTTGCTTCAATACCAATCAAAAAAGAAAAAAGAAAAAAAGAAAAAAAAAACAAAAAAACAGAACTCAGTTATCTATTAGGATTTTGTTCTTGACAAACTGACTTAAGATTTTCTCAAAAGAATCTTTCAGACATCTAAAAAACATCCAGTGAAACCTCGTGCTTCTTTCTCCAATTATTTTGAATCCTGTGGCAGTGAAAGACTCGTGCCTTTCACGAGGCATCTTCTGTGTAATACGGAAAAGAAACAGCCAAATGCCAACAGCAGCTCAGTGGATTTTTTGCATCATTTGCAATGCTGTAAAAGGATTGCTTCTCACTCATGCTCTAAACAGCTATTAGAGAGAAGAAAAAAGTCTATCCATTTAATCGGGCCCTGAATCGACCACAATGCCCTCAAAATAGTCGTTCCCAGAAGAGATTGTGTGACACACACTAAGAGAAAGGAGATACAAATATCCAACTACCTTATCGAAAGGTCCATAGTTTCATGGACAGGAGTCCACAACAAGCGTTACAGCTCCTGGGGGAGCACAGAAGTACTGCAAGCTCTGGCCTCAGCTGCACTCGTTTGCCTCCATTCTGCCTACTGCCCTTAGCAACACACCAGGCCAAAATCAAACGAGATTCTGCCAAATGGAGCCTCGTAAGAGCAACAGTCTGGGCTGACACCCAAAGCTGACAGTGCTTGAGCTTCATGACCAAGAGTCAAGAGATGCCTATGGCAAATCTCTTGTCAATAGGGCATAATTTAAGGAATCAGTTTTAGATCTTTCCATAAGCTAGAAAAGGCAATCCAGCCAAATACAGGTGAGATATGATAAATAGAAATTGTCTCAGTTGCATACAGATTTTTTTGCATCTGTATAAAGATACCCAAGAAGCTTATCCTTTTCTAAGGTTTAGAACCAACATTTTTGGCTTTTATTGAAAGTGCAAATTTTCTAATTTAAAAAAGTCCCACCACTTATCAGTCTGGTTAAAAAGAGACTTAAAATTTCCCGTTACTAAACAAAATCTTCAGACAGTTCCAGCAAATGCAGTGCAGTTTTTGACAAAAGCTTAGATTCCTGTAGTCCCTTCAGCTGCAGTGGTTACCGTGATTCATTAATTGCTCATTTCCTGCTCAAATAGCTGCAAAATTGGCACAGGTTAATTCACTGCAACAGAACAACTGGATTCATGTAATGGATGAGAAGACTTGAAGGGAGGTGATAACAAAAGGGAGGAAAACTGGCTAGAGAAGCCAAAGCTGCAGTACAGGCTCCGGGCACTATGACAGTGGAAGTCGCTCCATCATGCTGTGCTTCACTTTCCCCTAGTTTACTGCTGATTTGCAAACTCTGAATTGAGATTTTTAAAGTATGCAGAGAGCTATAGACACACAGGAAAAGAATGTCAGCTGTGTTTCAGAAGGACCTCAGTCAGGGTGCCAGCAATTAGTTTCTTGGAAAGTTTTCAAGATTATTTCAGGAAGATGCAAATACTTATTTCCTCCTGCAGCCTGTAGAGAAAGCTCTTCATTAGCAACTACTCTCCGGAGCAAAAAAAGCTCTTCAAAACAAGATGGCATTATCTTCAAAAAACCTCGTTTTCCTAAAACCTTCTTTTCAGCTTCATATTGAGGCAAAAAATCACTTCTACACAAGCCCCAGAAGAGCAGACTTACCAGCAGGTTGGTGGCACTGCCCTGCTTGGACACAGCCGCCTGGTACTTGGCCAGCCTGTCCTTTATGGACGTTTCTGTCAAGCGAGGCATGTCCAGGCTTTTCTTGCTCTCTGCCTTCTCCAAGCTGAGCACTGCACTACTCTCCACTAGATGCCCTGGAAAAATAATTACGTAAGTAAAGGGTAACTTGCATGAAACAGCCACAGAGATTTACAAATCGCATCCCTTCAGCACCAAGAGCAGAGATATTTCAGGTCTGAAAGCACAGGTGCTTGAGTCAAGGGCTTATGCTCCGAGTCTTGCGTTTAATCCAGCTAGTTTCAGAAGTAGCATATTCACCAGGCACCCAGCCAGCAGCCTCAGAAGCAACAAGGGCAAATGGTTCAAACTTTGCAGACTGTCTTGCTGTTATGGTTCAGTGAGAGCAGCTACTCCAGCGGCTGTGTGGAAATACACTTCACTTCTGTAGTGGAATAGTTTTCAGAGTCTTTTTGGAAAGCTATAGGAAGTGAGAGAGAATGTCTCACCTGCCACTTCCAACCTCTCTGTAAAATTTAGTCTCTCATATGACATACTACAGCCGAGGATTTCAAGAACAAACACATTATGAAATAATTCAGTTTAGCCTTGCTTATCCTGGCAGCACAGTTTTGAAGCATCTGCTTTTATCTCAAGAGGAAAGAAACATTTGGCAGCTTACCTACCAGCTGAGCTCTGTACATAGGTCCAGATCTCCCAACTCCTCGTGCTCGCCACCCAGCCTTCATTTTTGCTGCCAAACTTTAGTCAATTAGCCTTAAAAACACAGCTCCCTTTACTGCTCTGCTGACTTACTAAAGTGCTGACCCTCACACAGGAAGAGCTTTATCATTCAATACAGAATGATAAAAAGAAACCTTTCGCTAGCTAGTGGCCTTGGATGACTAAAACATTATGCAAATCATTAAGGTCCCTCTTGGGGACAATAAATGAGCACAAGTAATTCTTGCCAGTCTCTCCAGTGTTGCTCAAATAAGGACACAATCTGTACCATTAAGTAATTAGATTTAATATTAGCTATAGTCTGAAAACACAGAAGTCTGTAAATGCCTTGTTAGGAAAGTGCCTTTAAATTTATGAAAAATATGTAATTTTCCTCAAGTCAAAAGGCTTGCTGCATTCACCCATTTCTGAAGGAGGTAGGAGGAGGGAAAGGTATTAAGTCAACAGAAAGAAGGCATATTGTCCTGTCTACTTGTACAGGAAAGAAATTTTGCTATTTAGTTTCTAAATTAGTTTGACTATTAAGGAAAAAAAGCGTTGTCCTGGAATTAAGATACAGGAGAAAAGCAGGTTCCGTTCTTTAATTTGCCCATTATGTGCACACGTGGCCAGTCCTACACTTAAGGGGATAATGGTTTAACAGTCACAGCATGATTTAGTTCATTAAATGTGATGCTCTCAAGGACCTTACAGATGGAAAATGGCTCCATTTCCTTCTATTTCTGAAAGGCAGAAGGCTATTTCCATTGTTTTGTATAGAATAGTCTTACAAACCAAAAAAGCCCAAGGATTACTGACCTGAGGTACTGTGGCTCTTGTCTCCTTGGGCAATCTCACAGTCCTCTGAAGAGTAGCTGTTTTCAGAAACGCTCCTTGGTGCTGACTTCCTCTGGTCCCACGGGCCCTGCTAGAGACAAACCCATCCATCAGCTGCCTGGGCAAACAGAGATTGCTGCCTTTAATCCCTTAAGATGCACAGGTGTCACTAGCAAATCTGCTTTACTGGACTAAACAAGTCTAGCAGGTGACATCCTATTTAACCAGTATAAAGTTTGATCACACAATAGCTAACCCCCTGCTGCCTGGAAAACTCTTTCTAGAAGAGGTCCAGAGGTGCCTTTAGCTGATTGTTGAAAAGACAAAGAAGCACAAAGATCATTTTTGCAGTTTATTCGTAAGTTCATATGCAAGGTCAGTTTATGAGGATTTTAAATTGGAGGATTAGAAGTGGGATCTAGCAATACCCATGCATTCATTTTCAACAACAGAAAAGACAACAAATGCTACAGTAATGTAAGTTATCTAGAGTTACTTGTTTTGACATGGATAGCTCATTCATTCAGTACCAAATAATTCCCTAATTAGGTCTGATAAGGCTGAAGCTTAAGCAGAACAGTGCCAGAGATAAATATTCTCAGATATCCCAGATAATCACTGGCAAGGCTGAAGTGCTGGACAGGGTGTTTTGTAGCACCACCAGGCAGATGCCCTGGCTGCTTCAATCAGATCTGACAGTCTTTTGTTGAGACTGACTCCCCAAAAAGCTAATGCTCAATAAAAGAGACCATGAAAAGAAATTTCAACAAATTTCAACAGCTTTAGTAAATACTCATGAAGCACAGAGCTTCACTTCATCAAGATATTTCCCACAGCTGAAAGTCAATCTATAAAATACTAGAAGTTGACAGATCTTTCTCCTCTCCATAGAAAGGGTTAAATCACAGAGCCAACTGGAAGTTAAGATTGAGGCTAAAGTAGAGAAAAAAGGCAGGTTTGGCAACATGCTTTAACCACACATTTTTTTCTTCCACTGCTTCCAACAAGTTTCTTATTTGCTGGTCACCAAACTGAAGGAAATTCCAAAGTTTGAATTTAACAGAGCTGCAGTGTAAGATAATCACTGTTAAAAATCAGGCTCTTCAGCATACAAAACAGCAGCTTTACCAGGAAAGGAAAATGCAGCTGAAAAACCTCTTTTTCTGCATTAGCACAGGAATTTTTTTTATTATTATTATTATTTCTGTGGTTTAAGTCTTTGGTAATGTTTCTTACTGGAAAAGAGCTTAGCTATGACAAGCCTTTTCCTTCCACTGAACGTGTTGATAGGTTCAGTTTGGGAGTGTCTGCACACTTGTAAGAACTTGCAGATTCCTTATTCGCTGCAATGTATCCTTGGACGATTCTTACCCAGCCTATGTCCAATTTAATGTCACCTCGAGCCCACAGATCGAACGTTCTTACAGCCCAGTAGTTTGTTGTCCAAAGAGTCCGACTTTAGATCGGTACATTATAGGTAGAACACCTTTGAATTATTTATTAGCCCCCTGGAAGCCCTGATCGCTTCACGTCGGTGCTGCTGACTTCAGCAAACAGGAGCAGGAAGGGATCCATGACTCCCACCTTACCCCCCTGTCACCCAGCTCCTTTCGCGCTCCCGACTAGGTCACTATTCCAGTAATGCTACCTGCAAAGTGGGAGAAAACATCCCTTACTTGTGGAAAGCCCCGAGGGTCTAAGACAAAAGAGGCAAGAGCAGAACTTTTTGCCTGGGGCACAAGGAGCTGCTGTTAGGCAAAACACCAAATAAAAGTTACACCTATTTCGTTATATCCTAACTGTGTCAAATGTGACCCAGCACTTCAGGTTAACTACCCAAGCCAGAGTTGGTTTTTGCCTTAAGGAAAAAGAAACACAAAGCAATTTGGAGACTTTCTTGTAAACCACTGCAGATCTGCTTGACTTTTCTTCCAGGCTTCCCTGTGTAAGTTTTTACTGTCATTTAACAGGAAGCATTCTTTGAAATCAATAAGGAGCTCAGATTCAGCATTTGCATGGTACTAAATCAATCTAGATTGACATGCCTACTTTGATTCCAGCTCACATGTTTAGAGACATTTTCTTCCAGGAGGGTGCAATAAAAAAAGTCTGCCTTGCATCTAAATTGCAGATGATGGAGTTAGAGCTCAATGAATACATGAATAAATTAGGGTTTTACTTATGTTCCTGAAAATCCGAGTGGGTTTGTTTCTGTTGAATGTTACTTAGAATATGTGACTAGATCAGGAAATCCAGGCTCTAATCTGGATTCTGCCACATGCTCACTGAGAAGCCAGGCAGATCCTTTCACCTTTACTGCCTCGAAGCTACTTCTACATAGACGTTGTGTTGGCAAAGCTCTGACAGGGCCCGGACACTGAAACAAGCGCCAGCTCAGAGAGCCCTCCTGGCACTCAAACCAGAGCTTCAAAAACGGGCAGAGCACCAATGGGAGAGCCCGGAGCCAGCAGCCCAGTCTGCCCTTAGCCACATTTACACTATGGCACCAAGAGCGTGTCCTGTAGCTCTCGCTGTAGGGACTGCAGGGCGACACCCTCCAGCCTGGGATAAACTCCCAGGGCCAGAAACTACCCTAGTGCTTTCTGACCACGAAGGCCTCCCCTCACACCCAGGTAAACTCTACAGCACTTGGTGCTTTTTCTTGCTGCAAATTCAGAAGTAACCAGACGAACTGGGGGAAGAACAGAGTTTGTTCTTCCCCCCAGAAGATTGCTTTTCAGCAGTGTTCAAATGACTAAGCTTGACAGAAATACCCATCCCCGATTCAGTGGGCCCAGAACAATTAACCCCCCAGGCTAAGATAAAGGTACTTGACGCCCATCTGCAAAACAGTGCTTTCCTGAGGAATCCCGGCTCATTGATCCCAAAGCCGGGTCTGGAGCCACTCTCAGAATCCCTCTGAACATGGAGCTGGGGCTGCTCTACATGGTGACTGAGCCTGAAGAAGGGAGCTGGGAAAGATGACTTCGATTGCTACGTTCCGACGCAAAACTCAGCTTAACGTAAAGCTGCTCCTCCGAAGCCCTCAACCATCACATTATTTAAATAACTTCTGTAGGAAATCTGCTTGTTTTACTCAATACCGCGAGAAAACCACCCGCAGCAAGACAAAGCCAGAAGTATGGGAAAGTATGAGAAAACTGGAAAATCCACCAGCATCTAGGCCTCGGGACTATGTTGCAAGTCGCTGGCATCTGCAACTCATTTTCTAGTTAAGCAATTCTCCCTGGGGACACAGAGTCTGCAGTCCACATGCGGCTCGGGTTTCATGAGCGGCCGGGGAAAACGCAAGCCCGGAGCATTTGCAAGTCAAAACTGGCGAAGGCAGGAGCTCACCTCGCTATCTGCGCCTGCTTCCCAGGGAGGGGTTTTGTGATAAGAAACATTTGTTGAGATACAAAGATGAGCGGACAGTGAAGAAGAGATGGAGTATTTGCTTAGTGCTTTTATGCATACATCTGGATAGGTATATTAAATATAAGTATTTTCAATATGTATAGTTAGCCCTGGGACTCTGGCAGTGCTTCCATCTCATCTCTGCAGCTGCCTGAGACTGGTGAGCTTACTTCAAACTGCTATTGCTTAGATTTATTTATTTTTACCCAATTCATGTTTACATAACTTGTAAACATGACAAGATGCAAACAATCCAGCCTTGCTTTAAAAGAACACTTATATATTCCATACTGATTTTTCCTTACCTTTAATTGATCCACTCTATCAAAACCAAATCCATTTAAAGTCTGCAGTAAGCAATTGCAGACAGCACAAACCCCCACGCTTCACACAGCTCCACTAAGTCATTACCAGCAGCTACATTAAGTTTCAGCTAGAGCAATGAATAGAACAGTTCTGACAGAGCCAGGAGCCCCGAGCGCTCCCTCCAGGGACTCTTCCCAATGCCCAAGAGTTTTAGGCACTCTTGGGATGCGAGGGGACAAATCCTTACCTTGCTCGGAGCTGCTTCCCCCTTCTCGAACATCATCTTCAGCTTGCTCAGGGGAACGCTGCTCTTCTCGATCTTCCCCACAGGCTCTGTGTTGTCACCAGCTTCAGCCTTTCCCACTTCTCGCCCGGGTTCTCGCAGGCAGTTTTCCATCTTCCCCCTCTCCAGCGAGCGGCTTCTTGGCTTCTCGCTCTCGGCACCCGCGGACAGACCCTGCTCCAGGCCTGGAGGAGCTGCAGGGCTGCCCGCCGCCCCAGGGCTGCTGACCCTGGGGCGGGCTTCGGCCTTGGCAGCGTCCGCGCACAGCACCGGGCTCTCCCACTTCTTCTTGAGCGCGCTCAGGGCGCCCCGTTGAAAGCGGGGTGGGAGACTGTCGGCGCTCTGCAGGACGAGACACGAAGCGGTCGCGTGAGCCCGTCGGAGCCCACGGCACTTCCTTTCCGGGCGGGAGGAAGTCAGTGGCTCCGCGCTGCTCCCAGCCCTCTGCTCCTCCACACAGCTGTGACTCGTTACGCTGTGCCACATGGGGAAAGCATCCCGGCCGGGAGGAGGGGAACGCAGGAAGTGTGCGCGGGATGGCCTTATAAGGGAAGGGGAGCCGTGCTCCAAGGAGTTAACGCGCACAAAGACTCCGTGCTGCGCATCAAGGAGCGGGACCCAGAGCTGCTGGGGCCTCTAGCACGGCAAACGGCAGAGAATGCAGCCCCAAGGGCTGCGCGCTGGGCCATGCGCTGCACATCTTCCAGCTGTTTCTGAACACAACGATCAGAAAACGATCTGCTCCAGAAAAGCTAGAGACCATCTCACAGAAACAGCAGCTTTTTTTGGAGTTGTGCATTTCTATGTCAGTTAACTTCTGTATTCTAGAGATCTCCATCTTCCTTATTTTATACCATACAGCATTAAAGCACAAGCTAAGCACTGCCTACACATTGTTTTGTGCTCGTGCGGGGGGATTTGTCTTCTATTTCACACAGCACATCGTAAGCTCTAAACAGAACACGAACACACAAAGCACAAGCTCTGCCTTACCATGGTGAGTTTGATGGTGGCCCAGAGCAGCACTCCTCAAAGCCAAGTGCTTCCCAGATTAGTTTCCTTAGAAGCGGTTATCCCTCCCCAGAGTAACCGGCCACCCACCGTTTGGTTCGTTCACGTCTGGTCCTGACCAACATGGCATTTTTGGTGCCTGTCCCTTATGGAGACCACTACATATCAAACTCACTGGAAGTGGAACAGGTCTGCAAGGCTTATGGGAATTAACCAGGATTAGCAGCTATATTAGGATTTAAGTCTCTCACCCTATTACTCTTCTGGTCACATTTTGAACACTGCTTTGCAAATTAACTTGAATCCACTGAGACTTCAAAAAGATCAGTGTGTTAGCTGACTGCATTTAAAAGAAAACACTGAAGTTGTAAGGCAAATGCAAACATAGCAGAAATGGTCAAAACTGCATCCAGGTTTCTACAGGCACCTCTGCATGCCCGGCACCGTTCCACTGGCTGGATTCTGCACCTATCAGATGTGCATGTCAGATTGCAGAGAAGTTCACAGGTTCTTTCAAGGAGACTTCTAACTAGAGTACAAGCAGTACCACAGTTGCCTACAGCTAAGAATAAAGAGGTGGAGGCTCCTGTGTTGTGGTTAGAACAAACGACTGAAGGCAACCGGCTTTGGCTTTTGCTTGGGATGCAGTTGGTGATTCAACATATGGCTGTGGGCAAGTCTCTTGATTTGCTTGTGTTCTGTTCAGCCTGAAAAAGGGCAAGGGAATGGGCCAAAGGCAGAAACTAGGTCTAAGCCAAGTTTTCTGCAGGACACACGGCAACAACTTTGATATTTCCCCAAGGCACATCACAGGAGCAGCGCATGCTGGGAATCTGCCCTGGCTGCAGGCCGGCCCTTACTACCTACGAAACAAATACTCACATTTCGTTTCTTCTCAGCAGTGGCTTCTTCAGCCGCTTTCTGGTACCTTTGAGAAAGAGGAAGAAAGGAGGGGAAATTGTTTTAATCAGAATAACGAATGCTCTTGAAGAGAGCTGAGGTTCTTTCTCCTCCAGGATTTCATGTACTTTCCAGACCTATCAGATGAAACCAGGCACTACAAAAAGAAATAGTAACAGTATCTGAACAGTGTAAAGTGCTAGACACATTTTAAGCCATTCAGCTCCTAGTAATAGCATGCATTATGATTCTCATCATCTAAACACTCCGAGTCTCTAATATAGACAGTTTACCTTGGAATGGCTCTATTGTTTCCCCCACCCAGCTGCCGGCTCTGCCCCCTTGCAGGAATAACTCAGCTATTTATACAGCAGCTGCTGAACTGTAACAAATTACAGCTTGGCATACGAGGAAAATCTACATAAGTGCCAGTTTATCTTACTATGCTGGGCTGTAAACTGCAGCAGTTCAGCAGTTGCTTCATGACCAGCTGAACCAGCCCAGCATTGGAAGCAGTAATCGCAGCCCTCTGCAGATAAACTACCCTGGATCCATGAATCAAAGTCCCTTAAGAAGCTACAGAAAACACGCAGCAATCTGCACTCCAGCGGGCACAAGCGCATCCACAGCAAGGAGCACGCGCTCTGTGCCAGCCAGGGTCTGCACGAGCTGCCTCTGCTTTCCTTTTGAAAGGCACGGATTCATTGGCTACAATGAGTTTTGCTGTATTTCTCTAACTAGATGTTTACTGTAACTGAACAACTGCCAGTAAGTTGCAGGCAGTAAATGGGATACTAATAATAGTCATCAAGTTCAGTCTTTAAATAATTGCTGGTGTCAAAAATAAGGTATGCCAGAGGGCTCAGTAATTTTAAAGAAAAAAATCTGCTACCTAGTTCATCCTCGTAGTGCTTCTCTTCCTGCTCTGGATGGTGGCCTCCCATACAGGCTTCTTGTCTAGCACTGCAGGACCTGGCAGTCTGCACCCTTGACTGTTTGCGAGCTGCCTTTCCCATGCAGCCAAATGCTGCGCAGGGAACGTGCCTGCCCTCCTGAATAAATGCACAAGCATTAACCTGTGTTTTCTGTACTACACAGCTTCCAAACACCGAGTGGTCATGCTGCAGAAAAAGTGAATTTGGAGAGGAGGAAGAGAAGCCAATACTGGAAGAAGCAACCAAGAGAGCCGGGGGGATGAAAGTCCATAACCACAATGAAAATGACAAACAAAGAGTGAAGATCCCAGGCAGCACTGCGAGTTAGCTCATCCCAATGCATTAACTCTGCTGTTAGCTGCAATTCTGTGAATCTCTGACCCACCAAAACTCATAAGCTAAATGCTATATGGGATGCAAAAAGTATTTTCAAATACAAATATTTAATAAGAGCAATTTAGAAAAATTACACTCTTGCTGTACATGTCAGAGTTGGCAAAGCCAATAGCATTGTGGTTTCTCAAAGCACTGACACTGCTGATGTAGAGGAACTCTACTTGATTAAGGAATAGCGGTTTGGATTACTTCCAGTAAGCCCTTTTCAAAGGATTATCAACATTTAGCAAGATGACCAGGTTCTGTAATCAAATTTCAGTGAGTGAATAAATTACTTAACAGAGCAGTCAAAGCAAGCAGCTTCTCCCTAGGACACACTTATAGAATAACAGCCATGTTTCTGCAGAGTTCAGATTGCAGTTATCCTCTCTCTATACAATTCATAAAATTTCCTCCACACTCAGGATTTAAAACCTTGTTAGACTGTTAATGCAACAGCCCAGGGGACTTAGTTATGCAACTCCCATTGAAAACCCAAGCCCTAGTCTAGGAGCACAAGCTTTTCCAGAACACACACGTAGGCTACTGCCACTCAGTCTTGCCCAGTGTATAAAATATTACTTTATTATTTGACTGTCGTTTATCATCCACCTCTCAGACAAAAGGGGAGATGGCATTCCTTTTCTGCACGGTACTGGGAGACGCTTGAAAGTGGACATTCATGAGGAACACAACTACCACGAAAAATCCCTGAAATTCTTCCTAGGGGTTACATCCCAAGCCCCCACGGATCAGAAGTGCAACTTCTAGATGGGACTCCAGGTAACTGCACCTGGTTTTCATAGTGCCAGTGCCAGGGAAGTGCTGTGTTAGAGAGACTGCAAAAGCCCATTCTGAGCGAGTAAATATCTTACAGCCATAGCTGCTACACCCCAATGCTCTACCTTCAAAAGTATACTGTATTTAAGAGTGAACATTGTACTTTATTTTCTGCTAGAAGAAGGAAGAGATTCTATTTGCTGTAACAATATAACTGATCATCAACTGAAAGAGAAAAAAAAAAAAAAGGCTCAGCACATATTCGACCAGAAACTGAAATGCCTGCAGAGCTGTTATTTTTAAGAGGAAAAACAACTGCCAGTGAAGCAGTCATTGTTGAAGGTACCAGCTGCCAACCAACACAGCCTGATTGCATTCAAGAGCCTTGCTCCACTTACTTGGAGAACCTCTCCAGGAGAGCCAAGGACTTGTTTGTGTTGACTAGAGAAAGCTCTTTGGCCGTGATCCTCAGTGACTGCGAAACCCATTGTCTCCTGTTGAAAGGGGAGGGCTCCATCTTTTCACTGTGAATACCTACCCAGGAAAGAAAAAACAAAAGTATCGGTCAGTCTGAACTATTTGAGCTGAAAAGTGGTTTCACAAAATGATTCATGGTTCGGGTGCTCCCAACACCTGGATGTTGCTGTCATGTCTTGGGCATTCAGGCTGTCCTGTGTTGTCTGGCCAGGAAAATGACATCAGATTAAAGTTGCAATTTCCTCTGAAGATGCCTTCGAGATGGTCTCCCTGACAGAAATCCAGGGACAACATAAGGGGTGAGAGAATAGCCAGAAACCAGGAGTGAGAGCTGTGATTGAAAAGGATGCCGACGTGTTTCTTTAGCACACACGAACATGTGCACCCTCGAGGAAGCCCTAATATGCCCTCTCTTGTTCAGCTTTTCGAGCAAATATGCTGGCATTTATGTAAGAAGCCTGGAGTTATGAAACCTAAGAAGATGCAATTCCTCTGCAAACATTTTTCTTTCACCCTTGTGGTGTTCATTCCTAATGCAGCAGCCGCTTCCTTTGTGAGCTAAAACAAGTCTTCTGTTCAGGGAGGCAGCTGTAAACCTCATGTTGTAATAGCTATCAATTACCTAAAGGAATAATTCTAACTGGCCGGTACTGCTGTAAACTGGAACAGATTTTGCGCAGGTTTTTCATCACAGAAGCCAACATCACTATATCAGATTTTTTTTTCTTTACATACTTAGTTTTTCTTTTTGCGGAGGAGGAAAGGAGGGGGAGTAATTTGGAGTTCTTTGATAAGACCAAAATAAACCTAGCAGGGCAACGCCTTTCCTTTTCTCCTCTTTTCTTTTATCCCTAGTCGCACAATGCCTGTAGCAAGTGCATTAGCTGATCTGACGAGGATCAGTCACGGAGGCCATGGCCACTTCATTTCTTCCATCAGCTTCTTTCACTGATTTGCAGCATTAGGTCACAGAAGGCTGGAGGTCCAAGCCCAGGTAACTCTCCCAGGCCATTAGTCACACCTGAGATAGGATCATCTTAGGGAAACTGCGCAGGCAAAGTGGGGTAGGCTGCATTCTGCTCCCCACAGGAGGCCCTGGCCTTCTCCAGCCTTCCTGAGTTCCAGTGGAAACATGCACCACGGCAGCATGTGTTTTCCAAGACAGTGGCTCAGATGGTACGTCTAGATGAAGGGATTCAATTAGCCTGGCAAATAATGGAAGTTGCACTGAAACCTACCAAAACTACCATTTAGTTTGATGGTTCCTGCTCAGCTAACTGCAGCCTCAGATTCGCATCTTCCGCCCAGACTGAGCAGTGACGGTGACTGAGGAGATGCTTCTTGTAAGCCCATGGTTTCCAGGCTTCCACTTTGTGCCATTCAGTAACTCCTGTTCTATTAACCCAGCTACTTTTGTACAGGTTTACTGGACCAGCCAAGGATGCTCTCCATCTTGCAGGCTCAGAGTACTTCCCAGTCTTTGCCCATTGCACAAATGAGCATCCACAAGGAAAAAGGCTCTTCTAATTTGTATATGAGGAACAATCCTTTTGCCTCATTTTTTAAAAGCCATATTAACCGTACAAGTAAATAGTCATTTTCATGCTTACAAAGTTACCGGTACTCAACAGCAAACATTTAGCATAAAGATTTAAGAGGCCAAAAAATACATACCCAGAGATTATAGATTATATTTATGGCTAAAAAAAATATTTCCATGTGAAAAAATAACCTGAAACAGCTGCATAAAGCTACAGATTAAACTTTTGTTTTAAGATTAATCTTGAGCAAAGGGATTATCCGGGCACCACTTTGCACTTCAAACCGTCTTTCCCAAAAGGGAGCGAATTCCATGCGTGAGGCGGGAGCAGGGCCGCTATGAGACACAGCCCTCGACACACCTGACTCTGGGCGACAGGTCAAAGGAAGCAAAGAAGCAACAGAACCCAGAGGGACGCAGAGCGCAGGTGCCCAGAAACAAGTGGCTCCCATCACACCCAGCGGCACCTGCGGGGCCTTTTCCCTGCCGTGTTGTCACCAACCTCCTCCCCTGCAGGGCCAGAGGTGCCCCGAGACCCTCTGCACAGGCCAGCAGAGCCGCTGCTGGGCCCAGCCCGCAGAGCCGAGCCCCGGGACCCCGCACAGCGCTGCCGCTGTCCCAGCACCAGGTCCCAGTCATGGCCCTCCCTGAGCACCTGGCACTGTGTCATGTTCCAGCATCGCTGCCCTTTCCTTGCTGCCTGGATAATCCATCCCGAGGAATTCCAGGAAACAGCCCTTCATTGCAAGCATTAAAGTTTAAACGGGAGCACAGCCGTTCTGCGGAGGGGACGCTGATATCCGCAGCGGGAGCCGGGCAGGAGAGCACGGAGGGCAGGACCCGCCGCGCTACAGCAACCGGCACCCACCGAGCACGCAGGACCCTCACAGCGGAGTCGGGCAGAGCCGAGCGCAGCGGAGCTCTCCTTTTTCCTTTCTCCTTCCTCCCCCTCCCCCGGTCCGGTCCGTCGTCAC